AGGAGTTGGAGTGATGGAGAGACAGAGGCTGGAGAGCAGAGGGGTCTTCCTGCTGCCTGCAGGTGCCCACAGGGAGGGGAGGACAAGGAGAGGATGGAGCCAGGCCCTTGTCAGAGGTATCAATCGAGGCAAGAAGCATCTCAATTATTAATTAAGGAGAATATTTTCCTCGTGGTGGTGGATCAAGCACTGCTGGAGGGGCCCGTGGAGGTTGTGGGATCACCACGTTTGCATTTACTCCAACTCTGATGAGACAGAGCCCCAAGTCTGGTGAGATGGTTTTGTGAAACTGGGTGAACTGGGCAGCAGAGCTCCCTCATTCCTGTTCCTCCCGCTTCAAGGTGCCCGTGTGTCCACAGCCCAACCCCTCCACTTCTCCACTCCATCCTTTCCACCCAGGGCTCAGGACACTCTCTGCCTTCACAGTCCCAGCTCAGTCACGATTCTCCAACAGATTCTCCCTCCCTCTGTTCTCGCCTGGACTCCCCAAGCAGAGCATGGCTGGAGGTTGGTGTCCTCTCCCATCTCAGCATCCAGGCCCTGTGAGGATGAGCTGAACCTCTCACCTGGTGGCTGAAGCTCTGTGGCACTCACCTTCCCTGCAGGCGACCTCAGGCTTGAGGAACAGCTCCAGCTGATGCAGGAACAACCCCAGACCATGGGATGAGCTCACTGGTTACACTGGAGCACTCCTTGGGCAGGGGAGGCAGGGGCAGACCCTCAGCTGCACACCAAAGGCATTGACCTGTCCCCAAGACAAAGGGAGACACTTCTGCCTCCAACTCAACTCCCACCCCGCTGTGCAGGGCTGTGGCCCATCCCTGCAGCCCTGTTACCCGGCACACACACAGCCCAGGGTTAACAGAAAAGGTTCCAAATCCCACAGAGCAGCTGGAGAGCTGGTAACATGCTCCTGGCATCACACACCCCAGGTCCAGCATCACCAGTGACTGACTCCACACCAGTCACCAGGCTGGAGCACACACCTGGCTTCAAACACAAGCACCCAGGGGAGCCGCTGCGTCCCAGAATGGCCTGGACTGGAAAAGCCCCTGGAGCTCATGGAGTCCAACCATGAACCCAACACTGACCAGTCCCCGACTAAGGTGCTATTTCATCCTGTCAGGATGAACTTTTCCCACCCAGGCAGCATTTGCTGCCAGGAGCACAGCCCTGGAGGCATCTCTGAGGCTTCTGCTCCTCCTTCAACACCAGCAACGCACACGTGCGAGGAGAAGGCGCTTAACTTAGAACAATCTGACTTTATTGGTGCAAAGATTAGAACTCTAGGTGATGGGAAATATTCACAAGTACTCAGAGGAAGCTGTCTGAGATGAAGGAGGACACGCAGAGAGCAGCACGCACTGCCCCTGCTCACTCCTACTGCCGTGTTCCCATTCTGGGGTTTAATCTTCATGGATGTTGAAAAGTTTTGCTACTTCGTTGAGATCATCGTGCTCCTCCCCATCTTTGATGATCTGAAGGAAAGAAGAATGTTATTAAAAGCTGCACATACTACAAGCCACCAGTGTCTGTAGTTTATAAAGACTGTAGGTGGTCACCAGCCAACAATGATTCATTTCTTAAGGTCCTCTCTGAAGTTCTGCTGATGACAACTCACCAACTCACAGCTCACAACACCACCACCACTTACTACAGCCACGTTTCTAGGAGAGTCTTACACGTGGCATCATCTGCCTACAGGAATGGCTGGAGTTAAAACCAGCCTCTCCATCCCTGGAGGATTCTTTTCTGATGTCTCAGTTTCTCCTTTAAAGTTGGGGAGAAGCAGCATCTTCAAAAAAAAAAGGTTCATCTCCACACTGGGGAGGGTGGAACAGTCTCTGCATTGATTTAGGAGGAGCCAGTGGAAGTGGCTTCAACTTGCAAACATCTCATGGACAATGAGAGTAAGAGGTTTTGATTGAGGGGACAGGCTGCTGAGGGAAGGGAGGGAGGAAGGGAGGGAGGGATCTGTCTTTCTTGGGGACAGGGGGAGTAACAGGTTTCAAGTGCATCATGAAAACTTGATTAGATACCAACAGAATCTACCAGTGTTAAGAATAGTTCATTTTGGGACAGATCACCTGGGGATAACGTGGAATCACTCTTAGCAATAGTTTAAACTATTGAAATTCTCTAAAGATGTTAAAAAAAGTGACCTAAGTAGAGCTGCTCTTACCTTGGAGGATGGAGACAGACTATGGGGGCTGGAGACAGACTAAGCACCTACTCAAGGCTGCTTCTAACCCTGACTTTTTGTGGCTGTGTATCTAGGACGATAGATGTTTGAGACTGTTTTAGACACTTGGACACGAGACAAAGTAGCATAAAAATAGGACGTTTCACTCAAGATGCTCAGTCACACGTGACTCTTGCCCCTAACCGAGGACAAACCTGAAATTCCAGCTGTGCAAAACCTGATTCGAGTTGGTTTTGGTAAGAATTTTGAATAAATGTGTGGAAAAACCACAAGGACATCTGGCATAATTCACCCGAGCCAGGGCTGCCATTGGACACTGCACAGCTCTGCTCCCAGCACAGCCCTGCTATTTATTTATCCTCATTTTCAATTGATAAATTGATTTTTCCACAAGAAAATCCCTGAGGAGAGCAAACCTCACTGTTGGGCATCCTCAGTCCTGTACTGACCTTCCGAGCAATAGGCATCCTGTTGAAGATGTTCCATAAGACGATTCCTACCACGACTTTATCCCTGAGGTAGAAAATGACACCTTTGCCATAATCTTCTCCTTGCTTTGGTACTTGAGGTGTTGGTGAAAAGCTTGGAGAAATGTGAACTTCGGAGGCTTCTGCTTCTGTTTCACTCTCGGATCGGATACCTGTTCCTGATGGGAAGATAAAGAGACATCAAACATCCAGGAGGGAAGAAGAAAAAGCAGCAGCTCTGTGCTTGTGGCAAGAGGAGATGTTTTAATCACATTTTAATATCAAACCCAGCCTTTAAAGCTAGAAAAGAAGTGAGATTGATGTCTCTAAAGGGAGATCAGACCAACTCTGTGGCCACCACGCCCTCACCTGATTGCTCCGTGGCGCTTTTCGGCGTGTCCTTCGCCGTGGCTTTGGCAAAGACTCCGACTGTTGGCAAACTGCTGTCAACGAGGCCAATGGCTTCGTACCCCACGTTAGGGCCCAGATCACTCCTAGGAAAAAAGAAAGCAAAAAGAATTAATATCTAGCATTAATGAGACAGATAAAGGGCAATTCCACCCGCTCCCAAATCCTTAATGACGAGAGAGATCGTGGTGCACAGGCTGGCACAGCTCAGCCTCTTCTGTGTACGTTAGGGTGGGACAAGGAGTCAAGACACAGCAGGTCTCAGGCCATCAGTTTCAGAAGAAAGTAGTTCAATGAGCAAAAAAATACTTCATAAAATCCCATCTTCATCCATGATCTGGGCGAGGGGATGGAGGGCACCCTCAGTCAGTTGGCAGAGGACACCCAGCTGGGTGGGAGTGTTGATCTGCTGGAGGGTGGGGAGGCTCTGCAGAGGGGTCTGGCCAGGCTGGATCCATGGGCCAGGACCAATTCCATGAGTTTCCATGAGGCCCAAATGCTTGGGGAGGAGTGGGCTGGAGAGCTGCTGGGCAGAGAGGGACCTGGGGGTGTTGGTGGGCAGTTGGCTGGACATGAGTCAGCAGAGTGACCAGGTGGCCAAGAAGGCCAAGGGCATCCTGGCCTGGATCAGCACCAGTGTGGCCAGTAGGAGCAGGGAAGTTCTCTTCCCCCTGCACTGGGCACTGGTGAGGCCACTGGGATTAGTTTTGGGCCCCTGACTCCAAGAAGGACATGGAGGTGCTGGAGCGTGTCCAGAGAAGGGAACGGAGCTGGGGAAGGGTCTGGAGCACAAGTGTGCTGAGTTCCCTTGTGGCTGAGGGAACTGGGGGTGTTGAGCCTGGAGAAAAGGAGGCTGAGGGGAGACCTTGTGGCTCTGTGCAAGTCCCTTGGAGGAGGGTGGAGAGAGGTGGGGGTGGGTCTCTTCTCCCAGGTACCAAGGGACAGGACAAGAGGAAATGGGCTCAGGTTGATATTGCTGTAACACCTCCTTGAACTGGGCACGTGCTGAATTTGAACTGGGGTGCTTATAGGAGTCCACAGTAAGTAGAGTTGTGTCAAAAACATTCTCAAGTATGTTGAAGAAACAGATTCATCCCACAGAACAATCTGGATATCTCCACATGTACATCACGACCTTCCTGGCCAGAATCCTCCAGCACAGACTGGGGTTACTGAAAGGAAAACCAGTAAGGTGCCAGTTAAGCAGACCAGGCACCCAGCAGCGGGTAAGTCAGAGCTCAGCAGGGATCCTGAACTTCCTGAAAAAAAAAAAGCAAGAGGAATTCTTGCTCTTTGCCAGCTTTTTAGCACAGGAGAAGGAAGTCTCACCAAGCAAGAGCTGGCAAAGCCCCAGAGGTAACACCTGCCCACAAAACACAAGACTCCCAGCAACTCCCAGTCCCTCACTTGCATCTGTGTCATGGTTGGAGCATCCTGAAGAAAAAACACACAACTGCTCCTGTTCTTGGTTAAAAGTGAAGTGAGAAACACTTCTGGGTCTTCCAGAGTCCATGCAGTATAGACCAAATGTTCAGGTAAATGACAGCAAGGCATCAAGAACTATTTTTGAGGGGATTTCTCCAACAGTAAAACTCTTTTCCCCCCATATTTAAACTCCTGCTAGCTTTATATTTTTTTTTCATGGCTTTGAGATTTTCTTGTTGTGTTTTTTTGTTTTGTTTTAAAAAGAATTTCAAAAAGATCCAGCAAAACCATCCCATTTGTCAACACTTCTCTCTGGAAAACTACAAACTTGTAGGTTCCTGGATGTGGTGATGAATTGCTGCTAAGGCACCAGTTCAGCTAAGCAGCAAAGAGGCAACACAACTGAAACCAACAGTTTGTGCTGGGGAACTTCAGATGTTGGTAACAGAAAAGCTGCTGCTAAGTTCAACCTGTAAATTAGCCTGCTCTGAGGAAAAGGGGCTCCTTGCTTTGCTGAATGAGATTCATTCAGGGAGAAAGTGGGATCTGTAGGAAGGAAAAACATTTCAGAGGGGTCAGAGCAGTGATTGTTCAAAGTATTTGCTGAAGTAGTTTCACTACACTCAGGAAACAGAAACCTTTACAAGGTGTATCTTGTCATAGTTCCTACAACGTGGCCAAATAAGATATACCAAAATAAATAATAAATAAATAAATAGATAAAAATCAGCCTTACCAGAACATGGACTGATGCCAATAGGGCTTTGCAGCTCCTGTCATGTTTTCTCCAGCTAATCTGCCGCTCACGACGGCGTGATCGTGGTGCTCCACACGTCTCCTACCTAGTTTGATATCATAGAAGCAGGCAGCATCCCCTGCCTTAAAAAGCAGCATTCAGTGAGGACTGAACATTGACATCGAAAGCTTCAATCAATGGCATTGGGAAGAGAACAACAACTAACTATGAACTGAGTTTTTTCTGCTGTCACCTTCTCCCACTCCCCAGGCCACACAAATCCCAATTTCTCAGCATTTTTCACCAATCTCTGGAAAAATAAGACAGCATCAGGTCTGTTGTTTTTTTTTTTCCAGAGGAATCCAAGTCCCACCTCCCACCAAAGAGGAATCCCTGCTATCTTTAGGTTCCCCCAACTCCTCTGACACAGCAGAAATATTCACAAACTCAGTGGTTACCACAGCAACAAAACGTGTTGCGGTGCAGGAACAGACTCGGCGGCTGCTCTCATTACTTCACTAATTTTTTTGTCCCATTCACCTAATCCAGGTACATCACCCCAAATTCTGTGTGTTCTGGTTGCATCAGCAGAACCAGCAGATGGAAAACTCCTCTGCAACGTACTCACCACCCAGATATTGGAGCGTGCCTGCAGCTCTGCGTTCACCCTGAACCCTCCAAAGTCAGAGTCCACCTCCAGCCCGGCTGACTTGGCTAATTCCACGTTAGGCTCCAGCCCGACTGCAGCCACAATATGATCTGTCTCCACCTGTTTGGGAATTCATCATTATAATCTTCATTCTCTCAACCAATTTCCCCCCCCCCTTTCCTTGCTTTTAGACTTACTTTTCGGCCGTCTTTCAGTTTAATCATCAGCCGATTGCCGCAGACAGAGACAGACTTGACCACAGAGTTAGGCATGACGTTAACACCCTCTGGAAACAAAGACAGGGAACATTAACTGCTTGCTCCAGCAGACAGATTTCAGCTGGAGCAGGTATCTTTGGTGCAAACAGAGCAGGGACCAGGTTAGGAACCATGGGAGACACCACCTTATCTTTGCTGCATGTACGTGCCAGTAGAGTTTTGAGTGAAGCATGAAGAGAAAGAAACTCAGCCTAAGAAGTTGGAAAGAGCTACTTAAATGTCAATCTTTTAAAATCCATGTCGTATGATGACAAGATCACATCCAAAAGAACTCCCCAAGATAAGTTTTCAGGCACTCAGGACATTCAATTACCTATATTGCTCTGTCACAGCCAGAGCCAGAGGCTGGACAAGGCACCTTCCATAAACAAAAGAAAGTCACTCAGACCTGTGGGTTATCAGGCTCTGCAATCTGCAGCCCCAACTCTATCCCTCCTCCCTCTTATCCCCACTCCACTTACCAATTAACATAGCAAATGGAAAAAAGGTCTCTTGGATCTTACTGAGTGGATCAGATCAGCTAAACACCATGGCAGCTGGCCTTACAAAGGTGGGGCTACACAAGCCTTGTCTCAAAGGGACTCGAGGCTCACTGCCTTAGGCTGTCAGCAATAACATTATTCAAGGCTGAGAGCAGGCAGTTGTCATAAGACAACTTTGGTTTCAGACTATAGAAGCTGTTAAAGTATGGTAGAAGGGATCATTTTGTGCTGGAACAACCAGAGGGGAAAAATCTCACTGGCATCAGCATCCATCTTTGCTTGGTTTTCCCCAGAGGAACTGCTAAGAAGCCAGAGATTCACATCAGCTCGGTGCCACCCAAGCTGCCTGAACTGCAACTTGTTCTGTTCTGCACCTGGGTCACTTTGAGATGGACCCAGCCTTCCTGAGATAACAAGCAGGGAGCTGAATTTCACAAGGAAATGCTCCACAACAGCCACTGGCCTGAACACCACAGCTCTGCCGCTGGCAGAGGAGGAACACCGGCGCGCAGCTTCACCTCTTCTGACTTTCTCTGTGGTCCAGTTGCTCAGATATTCAGGCAAAACTTTGCCCATATTGCCATTCTCTGGAAACAGCTGAATCACCTCCAGGCCTCTGGTTCGTGCTGAAAGGAAAGCAAAGAGCAAGATTCTTACAACCCACAGGTAAAAAGCAGCAGCACAGACCTCAGGACGTGAGCAGATACACTTTACACAAGGAACATGGCAGATGTTCCCAAAACTGGGAGTTCTGGCTCCCAGATTTTCCACAGGAGTCACAAACTGTTTCACAGACACCTGTGCACTCTAGGGTAAGAGACAGCAGTCAAATTCGAAGTAAAATGTTTATTATTTTGGAGAAAACTTCCCTTATTAGAAAAATTCCCCATAAAGAATTACTCAAATCACTCAAAAAGCCGCAAGCGCTTGACAGTAACAATCCAAGTGTTCACAGCCTCTTTGAAATAATAATTTTAGGGTGGTTTTTAGCCTTGAGAGAGCAAATACAACTTCTTACAGGGTGCAATGACTTTGCAACACGCACTGGCCTGCAGAGAGCTTCCAGGTAGCCCAACTTACAAAAACCTTTTGTGGTCAGGGGTTGCTTGAGAGCTCGTGAGAGAGAAAATGGGAAACCATGTCAGGCCATAGAGCCAACAAAACACAGGTGCATGAAGGTTGAATTCTTTTTCATTCAGGGAATGAAAAATAAGTTTACAATGTCAGGCTGCTTAGATTCAGTCAAGGTGCCAGCTGAAGACAAGAAGCACACTCACCTCTTCTTCCCAGAGCACAGGCCAGCTCACTGCCGAGGAAACCACCGCCAATAATTGTGATGGACTTGACTTCTCTTGAAATCTTCTCCAGATTTTTGAAGTCTTCAATCTGAAAGAAGATGATTTATTCCCATTTCAAAGAACCTCAAACATTAATGGCAGCAGAAGTTGTTTTTCTCTAATTTCTCCCTTTGAAATAAAAGCAACTCTCTCCCATCTCAGAAAGGGAAACGTGTTTTTCCTTCCTCCTTTTATTGCACAGAAAAAAACTCTCTGGTCTCCTAATGTCTGTGCAAGCTTTTCCCTGTCCAGGTGATCTCAGGTTCCTGCATTTCCCCCTAAGTTTCAAGAGAAATTACCATGAAATTTCTAGACACAAACATCCTACAGCACAGAGAAGGGTGAAGGTGAAGAGAGGCCACAAAGAAAACATGGATATCAGTTTATTAGTTGACCAGAAACAATTTAATCCAACCCAGGAGTTAATATGAACACCCAACTTCATACTCAGCTAAAATTTCAGAGTATGACAGCAGACTCTGTCCTGTCTCAGGCCAAAGGCCAACTTCTTGCCTGTGTGCTGCAGAACTGTGCCACACACTTATTCAAGAGGGGTGTCAGGCTGGAGTACTGAAACAAAACAAAAAACCCAAACCCAAATTAAAAACCCAAACAAAAAAAACCCCAAATTAAAAAAAAAAACAAATTAAAAAACCCAAACAAAAAGAAACAGAAAAGAAAATCACACATGATTACAGCTCTCAGGCCTGAGGTGAGCAGATGAGGGGGTCTAGAAGACTCTACCCTGTTTACCTGCCTGGGCAAAAGGAATAAATAGCAAATATTGTCCTGGTTAAGAGCTGAAGGAAGCAGCTGCCAGGGCAAAGCTGTCCTCGACCCAAAATAGAGGAGTTCAAAAGCTGAAAATAGTGGTAGTAGCTCTGATTTTTTTTTTCAACCTCACCCCAATAATAGCAGCAGCTGGAGATTACCTTTCGGAACAGCGTCAGCCTTTGCTGTACATCTTTTCCTGCTCTTTCAATGGCTGGGAGGTTCCTTGGGGAACCACCTGAGGACAAGGTGAGAGAGAGAGAGAGATTAATGACACCATGGCCATGGCACTGGTCATCCAGACAATGCAAAGCTATCTTTGATCTGGACTGTGCTTTCCTGTCACTGGTGAGGCTGCAGCTGGAGTGCTGG